CCATGGCCAGAGTTTAGCATGGCCTCCAGAAAGCTGGAGATGAAAGGGGAAGCCTTGACCTTTGTTCTGTGTATTTGTATGTCATTGTTATTCCACTGTATTAAAGGCATTGAACGTTTGCTTATCTGTATATGTTGTGATCCGCTCTGAGTCCCCTTGGGGAGATAGAGCAGGGTATAAATAAAATGTTGTTGTTGTTGTTGTTATATAAAAATAAGTTTTTTTCTGTTGCTAGTACTGAAATTAGTGTTTGTCATACAATCAATAGTATCACTGAAGAGGCATTGAACGTTGAAGAAATACAGTAGTGAAGATATTGTACATTACTCATAAACAGGTTTCAAATGGATAGTGGGGTAGTCAGAAGGGCCCATGGCTCCCGACCCTTGGCTCTCTCTTCCTAAGGCCCACTCCGCCACATGTGATTCTGGCAGAGGAAATATAAAAGGCAGCAGCCTTGCTCTTTCCTTGGCTTTGGGACAGACGGGCCGAGCCGTGCAAAGGCCTTTTCATTCCCTACACAAACAGCAAGCGGGAAGGACTGAGGTGGGATGTTTTTGTTTCCCTCATTACAACACGTTAAAGAGAAAGGTGAGAATAACAGGCCACTCCATCCCTGGCTGACGGAGATTGGGGCTTTCTGTACTGGATGAGTTTACAGTACAGAACCCGAGCTTCATGGAGAAACACCCTGTGGGGAAAACGGGGGCCAATGGGATCCAGCTCTTCAGGACTGGTCTTCCTGTACACATCAAGGGCCAGCGAAATACCCGGAAAGTCAGGGAAACTGAAGCCATATAAAGGTTCTAGAATGCAAGGGGTAGAGAGAAAAATGGGAGTTTGGGGAGAAAAAAATCAAATAAGGCATCAAGACTGAAAGACACAGGATTGCAAGCCTTAAGATGACTTTCAGTAAGCATAAATGAAGTATATTTACATATAGAACTATACATTGAAAAATATATTTCTCCAAGAATTAGACTTTTCAATAGGTTGCTGGGACAGGAGAAAACAAAACTATGTATGGTACAGCTCTCAAACCGCATTGTCAAACAGCAAATATAGCCAGCTCCTTTGTACTCATCAGAGATTTTGCTGGTGGCGGCCTGCATGTGTCTAGAAAGCTTTTTTAAAAGATAAATTATTGAGGCAGGCTTTTAATGATTAATACTGTTTTAATACTTGTATGTTGTATAATGTAAGTTACATTACAATGCTTTTAGTTGTGAGCCGCTTTGAGTTTATGTATGGAGAGAAAAAGTGGAATATAAATAAACATAATAATAATATGGATCATCGATGTTGCAGCTGTCAATTCTGCAGCAGCAGAACTGACGAGAAGCAACTGCAAAGACTCTGGCACAAGCCAGTTAAGGTGGTCCCAATGGTAATCGACACACTGGGTGCAGTGCCTAAAGACCTTGGCCTGCACTTAAAAAGAATTGGCACTAACAAAATTACTATCTATCAGCTGCAAAAGACCACTCTACTCGGATTTGCACACATTATTCCCTGATATATCACACAGTCCTAGACACTTGGGAAGTGCCTGACGTGTGATCAAACACAAAAACTAGCACAATAATCTTGTTTGCTATGTACTAATATTGTTATATATCTAATAACAAGAAGAAGAAGAAGAAGAAGAAGAAGAAGAAGAAGAAGAAGAAGAAGAAGAAGAAGAAGAAGAAGAAGACGACGACAATTGCAGGTTATGGAAAAGTATCAAATTTTGGTGATATGTAAAGCCTTGGAGAAGTGTTGGGTGCTGTGAAGTTCAAGTTGCTAAAGTCAATATATTTCTGTCCTCCTCTAATAGGGGAAAACACAGAAATGCAGTTTGTTACATTTGTTGTCAAATTTCTCAGTATTCCTAAACTTCTATTGTGACACAGCCCAAAACTTAAGGTTCTGAAACATGCATCTAAACTATCAATGTGGTCAAACCATGTGTTTACAATCTATAAAGCATGTTTTAAAAATATGTAGTAGCTAAACTTTTTTTTTGAAAGGATTACTTAGCAAATGATCTGCCCAAGTACAATGGTTAAGATATTTCTGCCAAGAACAATTAGGTCAATGGGCCCAGGATACAAATATTGTATTGTGAAAACCTAGCTGCCGATTCTCTTTTTGAAAACAGGGAGGTGGAGCTGTTCCAGGAAGAGTACAAAACTTGAAATTCCACTGCAAGTAACTTGGTTGGGAAGAAACCAGAGGTATGTGTGTAGATATATTTGGAAATTGTAGGATTACAGTAACTGGCTGGTGAAACTGGTTCAGAGAAGCAGCCTTAAAGTAACAAGACTGAACATAGGAAACTGCCTCATACTAAGTCAGAGGAGCTGCGTGTGTTTAATCATTAATACTGTCTGGTGACTGTTTTGAGTTTTGGATTGTTTTTCTCCAGATCTGTCCGGAGATGATAGGAATTTACTTGGGATCTTGTGTAAAACAAGTGCTCCCATAGGTACGTCTCTGCTGAGAAGTAATTCACTTCAGATGATTCAGAATGCTTTGTTTCAATTCTGTCCTGCTCTGCAATGACATAGAGTAAGACTTATGATTTGTTGGTCAATACAGCAAATTCAAGTGTACCATTTTGCCCTTCCCTCAGTGACATGCTTAGCTCAATTAGGACCGACAACCCACAACATGTTAGGATAAAAAAGAAAATATGTAAAGATAAATCTTGAATTTTGTCAAAGGCTTTCATGGCAGGAATCACTGGGTTGTTGTAGGTTTTTCAGGTTGTATGGCCATGTTTTAGAAGCATTCTCTCCTGACATTTCGCCTGCATCTATGGCAGGCATCCTCAGAGGTTTTTCCAACAGACCTCACAACCTCTGAGGATGGCTGCCATAGATGCAGACGAAATGTCAGGACAGAATGATTCTAGAACATGGTCATATAGCCCGAAAAATCTACAACGCAAATCTAGAATTTCATGATATGTCTTTGATTTCTTTGTGCTGGACTGTTGTTAGCAAGCAGCAGAGTTGTTCTATTCCAGTCGAACTGGACAGGAAAAGGGAAGGAATTTTCTCAGTCGGTTCCCTCTCTGAAGTAAGAGGAGTTAATTTCATGGTGAATGGTTCTGTGGCTACTGGGAGTGGCTTAGCAGGGCAGCCTCGACATTTGACTGTCAGCCAAAGTGGGCAGGGCAGCGTTTGAGGGATAGGGAGAGCCTTAGCATCACTTGTCATAGAAGCCGCTTTTGGTTTTTTTTGCCTTAGGATGTGGTTTTCCAACTGCAATGGCAGCATGCAATTCCTTTGGTCAAGAGCCGACGTTCTTTATTTGGCTTTGGATTCTTGAAGCAGGTACAAGGGGCAGATGCATTCTCTGCAGTTACAGTTAAGTGGCCCCTGAATGTTGCCAGTTTATGTCTAGTAAGCATGGTTTTGCTTTCTTAACCATGAATCTAAACATTCTGAAGGTCTGGCAAACCGAGGCGTTCATAAAGTACCAAATGATAAAATGTACGCTAGAGAAAAACTGAAGCTGTGATACATTCTGTAGCGTAATGAGGATCCCAGAGTGGAATGAAATTCAGGGCAGAGAGAGGACTCTACTTTACTTGACATGAGGGCTTATATGCAGCAAAGAGCTCTATGATTAGGAAGGGTGTTGTTAGCAAAGCCGTGTAAATCAACAGATCCTATTTATTTCCCATACTTGTAGCCCGCCCTTTTCATCCCAAAGGGGACTCGGTAGCCTCACAATCAAAAACAAGTCAATGCCCAACAAACAAACAGATTCCAAAAATAATAATTACAATTAAAACCAGCAATAAAACACAAATTGTTAAAGCAGCAATTAAAATCCTACCAGCCAAATGGACAGGAGAAATATAACTGGCAAACACTGATGCCTGGGCACTAGGTATTTATGACATGGCATATTATTTGCTCAGAGAGTAAAGGTTAGCAAAAAAACAAACAACAACAATACTTTATCTATAGGTTGCTCTGTCTCCCTGAGGGGACTCAAGGTGGCTGCCACCCTAAGTCCAAATAGCACTAGATAATAAGGTTGTGTTTTTGGGGTAAACCTTGCCCCGCTTCATGTTCCGGCTTTCGTGGGGACCCCGATCCATTTTTTTGAAGTTTCCCAAAATTGGGAGGATTGTTTATGGTTTGGGGCCCCAAATATCGGACCATTATGGGGAGGGGGGGGCTTACCATCCATTGTCTCCCCTTGAGTAATCCTTTCTTCTTACCTGGCACCTACTGTTTCTACTTTAGAGTAAGAGGCGCTCCTGGCTGTAGGCACTGGCAGACGTGTGCGCATTCCAGGCCTGCTTGCATGGCACTCCACACACGCACTCACCTTGGAAGTGTTTGGCAGGGTGTGAAGACAGGCCCTGGAAAGCGTGCGCACCTGCCAGTGTCTGCAGCTGAGTGCCTCTTACTCTAGAGGTGCTCAGCTGAAGGCATTCTCTGGGTCTGTTTGCATGCCCTGCCATACACGCAATCTCTGAAAGTGTGTGTGTGGCGGGGCGTGCAGGCAGGCCCTGAGCGCGCCTACAGCTGAGCTCTAGACCTGCAGACACACAACACATGCACTCTTTCCAAGGCAAGGAGGCAAGTTCAGCTGCAGACAAAAGCAGGCTTTATGTTGAGGAGGCTTTTGTGCAGGGAGGGGGCTTCCCTTTTTGTGCTCTTGAAAAAACGGACGACACAAAAGAAACGGTAGAAATGATAGGAACGAGTTCTGCACACAAATCTACTAGGTAACTTATACATTCTGTGGCTCTTTTTGGATCAGCAAAATTAACCTCATTCCACATGCATCTCTTGATAGAATACTTTGTGAAGAACATTTCAGAGAGAATACAAAGAAAGAGAGGAAAGCTATGTTGAGGGGAAACTGGGGCAGGCGGGATGCAAGAGCCCTGGGCAGCGCAGGGACTGGCAACTCTATTCCAAACTGGGTTACAGGAAAGCTGTGAGATGTCTGTGTGGGGCATATGAAGAAAATATTGAACTGAGAAGTCATTTCTTGTACCCAAAGTCTTTTATTACACACATTAATAAAGTAGGAATTTATTTTATCAATGGGATAAGCATGGACACTCCAGTTACTTCCATTTTTTGACCTTCTCCCATTGTTCATGCTTATTATTTCCTATATCACCTTCAAACTTCTTTGTGCTGAAAGTGAAAGAGTAAGCAGGAGACAAGTATGGGGCAGGCTGGGATACTCCCCAACTATCCTTTCAGAAAAGGTAAAGTGGGCAGATTCACACATCTGTGCAGCGAAGTGGTTCACACATCTGTGCAGCGAAGCTCCATCTTCCTGGAGCAACATCCTCTCGCTGTGAAACAGGTCATCTGCATCAGCCAAACAACCCTTTTGCTTTCTTCTTTTTGGTCTTAGCAGTGGGCAGCTGAGTCTTCTGCGTCTGGGAGGATGGGGCCTGGAAAGAGATGGCAGAATTAGTCAATCAACCAAAGTATTGAGCAAGAGGAGAAAACCAAGACAATTAGAGTCACACAGGCTGTCATTGGATCTTCACTCTATGCATTTGACCTTCTAGGCAACAAATGTGTGGTTGTTTTCTGATAACGTGAAGATCGAGTAGAAAGAATCAAAAGTGTGCATAGGGAATAAAGAACACTTCCATATGCCTGGCCCATGAAAAATATACCCATAGTATTTGGAAAATCTGCTCAAAACACAGGGAGTTTTGTTTCATATAGTTCATACAGTCTTCCAATGATAAAGGACTAGCATAAGCATGTAGGACACATGGTTGGTCCTCTAGACTGGGATGACAACCATCACCCCTTACCATTGGTCATCTTAGCAGGGTTTGATGGGTCCTAGAGTCCAAAGTCATCTTGAAGGCCACAGCCTGGAGCACATTGTCAATGTAATTTTCTTGTTTGCTTTTTATAAAATAACATAAAAATCAATCAACTCTTCAAATCGTTCTTTTATACAGCCATATATGACGAACCTACACAAGTTCTACTATTGTATTTAGTTTTTATTCATAATTATTCATTGCTATTATAGCCAAGGAACTAGATTTACGTATTTATGCCATGCAAATGCAACCGTTTTTCAAGTGTCACTAGGAAATACGCCTTTCCTCAAGAAGCAATGTCCCACTTTTCGAACACTCAAAAATACAACATATTTTCCCTGGAAAAATGTAATTCTCTTTGCTTGTCATTGCAATCTGGAATGCTGTCTGGAATGTGGTTATATGAGTGTCACATACAGCAATTGCCTAGTACCTCTAACAATACCACTGACACACCACTCCAATCCCCCACCTGCAAATGCCAGCCCCATTTTATGTGCTTTTTTAAATGGGTTATGTGCTGGCAAGGTCAAATCTGACAAGGGCACCTCCCACCCGGTGACCTTGCTAGTTTAGAGCCCCACAAGACTGAGCCAGAAAAAAATGGCAACTATGCTGCTTCGGTAAACAAGTGCTGACTCTGTTATTTCCCCTTCTTATCCTTAGTGCTGCTCTTCTCTGAAACTGCTCCAATTTGTCTATAGCCTTTTAAATATGATGTGCCCAGAAGTGAACACTGGACTGTAGATGAGGCTTGAATAGCACAGCATAAAGTGGGACTATTACTTCATTTAGCTTGGGAACTGTGCTTCTGTTAATGCAATCGAAAATAGCATTTGCTTTCTTTGCTGCAGCATCAAACTGCTGCCTAATGCTCAGCTTCTGATCAGCAATATTCTCAAGGTCCTTTTCCCATGAAATACTTATCATATCATGTAATACTGATGACCAAAATGAGCAAAGGTTTGGAAGCCAAGCCTCATGACTCCACGTAGACATTAGGAAAAAAATCCTGACAGTAAGAGTTGTTTGGCTGTTGAATATACTGCTACATGGGAATCCGGTGGAATCTCCTTTCCCTGGAAGTTTTCAAGCAGAGGGTGCTTTGATTGTATGTGCCTGCATGGCTGGATGGGGTTGGACTGCCCTTGGGGTCCTTTCTGACTTTGTAATTCTATAAATTCCCTATTTTATAACTGTGAATTTGGTTTTTTGTGTGTGGTGCAAATAGAAAATTTTGCATTTGTCTCCTTTGAATTTCATTTTATTTATTTCAGCCTAGTCTTCTAGTTTATCCAAGTCCCTTTGATTTATAGATGAACAATAAAATAGTGTGCAAATGAATAAAATGAAATTTAATAGCTATAACTTAAAAATTCTACATTTAGGCCACATACACACACACACACACAAACCCACAGATGGCACAGAACTATTGCATGTCAAAAGGATCCTGGGATCCCTGCTGATCATAGATGCATTTCGATCTCTGGCAGACCTCCTGAGTGACATGACTGGCACGTTTGGTTTTCCCAAGACAACCTGCCTCAAGCTGCTCACACAGGTGTGCTCTGGGCCTGTCCTCACCATTGTGTCTTGGTCAGTCTGTTCAGTCACTAGATTGGACCCTGTCTTCTCCTCAGATGGTAAATCCACAGCCCCGCCTTGAGCAAGGTCCTGGGGGCTAAGACGTTCAAGGCTCTCAGAGTCTCCTGAGGCTGTAAAGGAGAAGAGAAAGAATTTTTACCTGAAAGAACATCTCTCTAAGAATTTCTAGATCTTCCAGCATGACTCTACCATCTCCCTCCACTGGAAAGTGAACACTGAATCACATGGAGTACCCAGAGGTTTCGAAGACAGAACATTTAAATCAAAACCGTGAATAAACAAATCCGCAAAACTCAAACTTGCGAATGTGGAGGGTGGTTGACTGTACTCTAAATTGGTAGTGAAAACAAATTAGCAGCCTTTGAAGGGCCATTGAAGGCAACTCAAAACATTGGGAATTTATGGCAACAGCTAGCAAGTATTTGCATTATCCCCTAGATAAAACTGTTTTCGTGGGCCAAATGGAATGTTATTTTGGTTGCTACACCACAGAATCATAGAACCATAGAGTTAGAAGAGGCCTCATGGGCCATCCAGTCCAACCCCCTGCCAAGAAGCAGGAAAATCGCAACATCAAATGATGTGTGGATGGAACGTGCCAATCGAGGAATATAGACAAACAGCAGTGGTGAGCAGCTTTCTGGAGGCATCAAAATGTTGCCTAATTCTTCTGTGTCTGGACATTCATTTTTGAACCTATAAGAAAGGAATAAACAACTCAGAGATGCCAGGGAAATGAGATAGCTTTTTTGGACTCGTATAAAACCATCAGGGCTTCCCTCTCTGTTTGTGGTCATTTCTCAGAAGTATTGCCATCTTTGCAATGTATTGGCACAATGGGCACACTCTATGTTCCCGCCATTCCCTCACCTTCTCGGTGCCGTTTGCAAGTTGCCCTGGCCTGCTCTTGTGTCACCGCCATGTAGAGCTCTTTTAGATTGGAAGTAAATAGTTTTCCATCTCCTAGCTGGCAAGCTTGGGGCAAAATCTGTGAAACAAAAGGAGAATTCTGATCAGGACTCCAGATAGAAAATGCAAATAAAAGACACATGGGGATTAAGACTACTTTAGTTCACCTGCAGCCCATATAACGTATTACCTATTACCAACTATGCTGACATTAGGAGAAACAATTTCATTGGTTATTCTGCATCACTGAAAAATCACTGTCAAGGAAAGAATGTGGTCGGTGATACAGCTGTTTTTGCATGCTGAAGATCTCAAAAGGTAATCCCTGTCATCTCCACAGAAGATCCTTAGGGCCTTCAAAGAAAAGGAACGTAGGGAGTGGCTGATTAGAAAGTCCCACCTTGACTGGGGCAGAGAGTGGCTGCCAGAGCTGGGCTAGTTAGACAATTGGTGGGAAAATGCAGCTTCCTATGCAATCTGGGAATGGCTCTAACCACTAAAATTGTCGCTCCTAGGAAAATCTTCAGGTTCGAAAGGGAAGCTTGCAGCAGACCTACACTCAGTTATTATACTCAGAGACATTCACTCACATTCCAATTTTTCAAAATTACTTTTTTGGACCACAACCCCATGTCCTCACTCTGACTTCCTCAGATGGAGGGACCTGTAATAAATAAGAACTTTCCCCAGCTCTTACATAAACATAGCACAGCCATCCATTAAGAAGTTATGTGAAGCAGTGTACTACCACCCCCACTGCCCTTATATATAACAAAGGGGTGAGGGTGGCTGCTGTGCTCTGCATCAGCCAGAGCGAGGGGTACATGGCCCACCCTGCCTCAGAACACAGTGAGCCCAGGCTCCTGCTTGTGTTTCAAAGGTTTCCAGAGATAATGCCGCTGCCGCTGTGCCTGCTCCACACCCAAACAGTCGGGAGAACAAAGTGTAACAGATAACGGGGCAGTTCCTCTCTAAGGCGCTCAAGGCCGGAGTCCAAAGACATTGCCTGTCCCTCACTCCCCCGAGCCCCGGCTGCAGAGTGGCACAAGGCTCCTGCAAGAGCACACGGGACAAAAGCAACAGAGGAAGGTAGTCACATCAACCTAGTTTTGATATGGCTATTCAGACTGGCAAGGTGTCTCCAGGCATTGTTTTTCTCCCCAAGATCCCTTTAAACCAGAAATACCAAGGACTGAATTTGGGATTTTCTGCAAAGCAATCCATGTGCCCTGTCACTGAGCTATGGACCCATCTTCTATTTTGGCAATGTAAATGGAAAAACTTTTCTTTAGCTGCTGAAATGTAAGATCCACAGTATATTCAAAGGATCAAGGATGGATGTGAACAATGTCCTATTAGAACAGACCAATGATGAAAAGTAAGTGAAATCACGTCATAGAATCATAGAATCCTTGATTTGGAAGAGACCTCATGGGTCATCCACTCCAATCCCCTACCAAGAAGCAGGAAAATTGCATTCAAAGCACCACCGACAGAGAGCCATCCAGCTGTTGTTTAAAAAACTCCAAAGAAGGAGCCCCCACCACACCCTGGGGCAGAGAGTTCCGCTGCTGAACAGTTCTCACAGTGAGGAAGTTCTTCCTCATGTTCAGGTGGAATCTCCTTTCCTGTAGTTTGAAGCCATGGTTCCACATCTTAGTCTCCAGTGCAGCAGCAATCAAGCTTGCTCCCTCTTCTCTATGACTTCCCCTCACATATTTATACATGGCCATCATGTGTCCTCTCAGCTTCCTCTTCTGAAGGCTAAACATCTTTGAGTCAAATCTACTTTCTTGAATTTCTCCTGGGTAGATGAGAGAAAAAGCTGTATTTCTGAAACCAAAGTACCTTCTTGATGGAGATCACCAGTAGGATTTTGCCCATAAACCCCCATTTTGTTCAATAAGTTTCTGTGATATGAAACTGCCAACCGCTCTTGATGGCAGGATACAAGTGTGACTATTTCTCCTTTGTTATTAGGTTGACAATCTGTCCATTGTGAGTTCACAATAAATGTCTCCAACTAGAACAAATCCTGTAGAGATGACAAATTATGCAACTGCTGTTTGATATAATCAATCCATCACACTGTTCTACTTCAGTAGCAGCAGAAGACAGAATCCATACCAAAGGAAACTATTCCAATAGTAAAAGGCTATTACTGAAGAAGTCAAGGGGATAGGATTCACAGGATGTAAGTATCCAACAGTAGGTAGTAAAGGAGAATTAAGACTGAATTTGCAGGGAGCAAGGAAGAATTGGCTAAAACAAATGGAAGTCTTGTATATTAAGAGTTATCCAGATAATGTATTTTTGCATAACAAATACTAGTGTTGTTCAGTTAGTGTTACTTACTTACTTACTTACTTACTTAGGCAATCCCTCGTTGGACGAGTAAGATGGTCTTCCATTATGGATTTCCCTGTGGGTCCGTATGTGGCTGTGGAGCCCTATTCTTGCTCTGCATCTTCTTCCGCAGTGAGGGCATTGGTTTCCAGGTGGAAGGCGGTCCCGGTCGGGGTTGGCTTGACGCGCCTTCCTCCTGGCACGTTTCTCTCTTTCACCCTCCACTCGTGCCTCCTCAAATTCTGCAGCACTGCTGGTCACAGCTGACCTCCAGCTGGAGCGCTCAAGGGCCAGGGCTTCCCAGTTCTCAGTGTCTATGCCAGAGTTTTTAAGGTTGGCTTTGAGCCCATCTTTAAATCTCTTTTCCTGTCCACAACGTTCCGTTTTCCGTTCTTAAGTTCGGAGTAGAGCAACTGCTTTGGGAGACGGTGGGTCAGGCATCCGGACAACGTGGCCGGCCCAGCGGAGTTGATGTTGGAGGACCATCGCTTCAATGCTGGTGGTCTTTGCTTCTTCCAGCACACTGACGTTTGTCCGCTTGTCTTCCCAGGAGATTTGCAGGATTTTCCGGAGGCAGCGCTGATGGAATCGTTCCAGGAGTTGCATGTGACGTCTGTAGACAGTCCACGTCTCACAGGCATAGAGCAGGGTTGGGAGGACAATAGCTTTATATACAAGCACCTTGGTCTCCCTACGGATGTCCCGGTCCTCAAACACTCTCTGCTTCATTCTGGAAAATGCTGCACTTGCAGAGCTCAGGCGGTGTTGTATTTCGGCGTCGATGTTGACTTTGGTGTTAAGAATTTAGAAATCTTCTTTCAAACAAGTGCTCCTGTTTCATGAACATTTCCTAGCAATGAAAAACCCAAGATAGAATTCCGGATCATAGTTATTAATGTATAACCTAGAGTTTGCATCTTCATAACTGTTTCCTGTTCATAATTCCTACCTATTTAATAATATAGGAAATATATAGGGATGGTAAAGTCCTCCAGTCCTGATTTACCTACCAGGCAGTAGCTTTTTGCAAGCAAAGGAAGCCTGTTCTCCTATGAGTTTGCTGCATCCTAATCAATAGGAGAACAGGTTTGCTTTGCTTCCGAAATATATTACTGAGACAGTTTTAACATTTTCACTCCCCTTATCATGGGCAACTGGATGGCAAATGCTTTCAAAGTATGTGACCCAATTGGGTAATGTCCTTCCCACCATCCCAGTATCTAGAATAGACCACAGAATATTCAGTATATGTCCATGAATGTCATAAAGATTTTTTTAAAATAATTGAAAGTCCTGAAGAATTAAATTAACAAACTGGTCGAATTATAAATCACAATGACAGTATGATATAATCTATCCAAGTCAATTTTGGATTACTTTGCAAAACAACAAACAATTCCTGAAATTCACAATTCAAAAGCATTATCCGACTATTCCATGTGTTTTTCTTAACAAATTTCTTCTAGCAATAATAACGATATATTTATATCCCACTTTTCTCCCTCACGGGACACAAGCAGCTTACAACATAATAATGTCATACAGACAACAATCTGGATACATATATTTAAAAACAATATACATTCATGTGGCATCATGTTGAGTTATATTGCACTTCGCTCCAGTCAATAATGTTAGAAGAAAAAGAAGATAGATGTGTGATTGCATTATTGTTTAAAGCAGTGGTTCCCAACCTTTTTTTGACCAGGGACCACCTGACCAGGGACTACTTTGACCAGGGACCACTTTCCAACATTAGTACCAAAAGGCTTATGAATCAGTTTTTGGTCAACTTTAGATTCAGTTTGGTTATTTGGGGTGCTGATGCAAAAAACTGCATTGGATAGACCACATCAGCTCTAGTTTCTGATACAGAACATATGCCATCCAGTAGTCACCATCTGCTCGCCCACAGAAAACCATATTGAATAAGCCTCAGCACTATAAGAGGGTTTCGCGAGACCAGTCACTCTTGCTGCAACAGTGTAGTAATGGTGAGGCCGCGGACCATATTTTACTGCTTGCGAACCACTGGTGGTCCATGGACCGAAGGCTGGGCACCACTGGTTTAAAGGAAATAAACTATGAGAGTGAGATGTTTATAGGGGGAGGGGTTAATTATTATTTTATAGTTGTAATATGTAGTTGTGTAGTTTTGGTAGTTTTATACATCTAAAAGATTTTTTGTGTGTCTTATTTTGTCTCTTTCTTGAATAAAAATATTTTTAAAGGATGGAAGAAACTATGAGATCAAAATTGGAGGGTTTACAAATTGAAGATAATGTCCTCTAGATGTCCATTAAACACCCACAAAGAGGCAGTGTGGTTGCCCAGTTAAAGCCAGATCTAGAAGTGTACAATAAGCATTCACATAAATGTCGTATCTTTCTCGTGGTAAAGACTATTATATTCTACCATGTATAAGCACTAAAAGGAGAAGGCAAATACACTGATCATATGTCTATCATTACAGAAAACAACAGAAATGCAAGGGTTTGTCAGGAACTTTGGTTAATTCTGAATGGCCACTATATCCACTAGATGCACCGTTCCCTATAGCATATGGCTTAGCCTACTTCCTTGAGCCAGGTAAACAGATCTATGCCCCTGCAGTTAATGTTTCCTGCAGTGTACCCACTCTTTTCTTGCAGCAGACTAAATTTCATCTGTTGATCTGTGTGCAGGGAGAAAGAAGTGGTTGGATTTGCTTTTGAGTGGTAATGTGGATTAGAT